AAACCTCAAAGGCAGATTTTACAACCATCCCTTTAATTTTTTGAAGACCTACGGATGAATTCATAGTTGAACTCATAATCGACAGGTGAAGTGGATCCGAGTCCTCTATCAAGATTTTGCAACTTTCACAAGAGACCAGGAGCAACTAATTTCGACAGAAAACACGTTCGACTACGTAGAAGGCCTGGTGATAGTGAACAAATCCGGTCTCATCAATAACTGGAGATCGTCTTTCGACGCTCAAGACCCCGAGCAAGCAGACAAGTTTGTATCCGATGGAAAAATACTCTATTGCCTGGAAATGACCAAAAACTTCGATCCCGATGAAGATATTGATATTGAGAATGTATGTGCACTTATTAGGACACATGTTACATAAATGACGCAAAAAAAAAATAGTCATAAAACTAAATCTAATTTATTTCTGTTTAAAACTTGTGCAGGAAATTTCGGCCCTATTGTCTAAATTGAGCTACATCCCATCAACACTCTTCATTACAGAAGTTTCGTATCTGAGGTTTCTTGACAGAGTCCATGCAGCTGAGCTAAAATTGAGGTCAAAGGGGCTTTGGGAAATACCACACCCATGGCTCAATCTACTTGTCCCCAAGAGCAAAATACGCAAATTTGCTGAGGGTGTTTTCGGAAGCATCATAACAGAAACAAACAACGGGCCTGTACTCGTCTACCCACTCACCAAATCAAAGTAAGGCATTCTTTGCTTTGACAAAAGCTCAAATTCTGAAAGTTGTTCACAAGAATTGGGGATTCTCAAAACTCACTGATAGACATGTAAGGGTTTGTGAACATTATTCACCAAAACTTTTTCCAAAAGCCTAAGCAAGTAAAAATTCTTAGCTCGAGATTGTAACTAGTTAAGTAAGACAACTAATTGAAGTCAGCAAGAGATAAATCAATGTCTAACTACAGCAGAAAGAGCCCCAGTAAATTGGTGAAGACTCCCACTTTCAACCATTGAATTCCATTTGTCAACTGTGTTAATTGAATTTAGAATTTTCCATTGTATTTAATTCAGGGTGGACAATAGGACGTCATTCGTAACACCAAAAGGAGAGGAGGATGAGGACATATTCTACCTGGTCGCGTTTCTTCATCATGCAGCTCCATCGTCCACATCCGAAGGCAGCATTGATCGAGTATTACAGTATTTGGTGGAGCTCAACAATAGGATATTGAAGTTCTCCGAGGAGAGTCGGTTGGGAGTGAAGCAATATTTGCCGTATTTCACCACGCAGGAGGAATGGCGGGCCCATTTCGGGCCGAGATGGGAAGCCTTTGTCCAGAGGAAAGCAACTTATGATCCACTCGCCATTCTCGCTCCAGGCCAGAGGGTTTTTCCTAAGCCCCTTTTCAGTACATGACCCACCACTTTCTACGGATTTGGATTTCGAATTCCACTGTAAATTTTTCGCATATATTATTATTATTTAGATTTATTATTATTAGCATATATTATTATTATTTAGATTTATTATTACTATTATTATTATTATTATTATTATTATTATTATTATTATTATTATTATTATTATTATTATCATCTTTGTATTTAATAATGTAAGGGCACAATGTATTATGTATGACAAATAGCGTGATATTAATGAATTATACCTACTGTAAGCAAGTAATTAATAGTTAATTTCGAATCTATTAAAGTTGGTTTTTGCTAATTTTATCGACGTGGCATATAAAATAGCCCGGTTGGATGTGTTTTTCGTCTGGTTCAACAGTATTAAAGGGGTGTTTTGTATAAAATAATTTGGTTTTGATTGGATTTGTTGGATAAAATGAATTATTTTGAATAAAGTTGATTGAGTAGAGAATTGAGTAGGATTTTGAATTTATGTTTTGTTAGTTATATAATTGTTGTAGTATATATTGTATGGTTAGGTTAAGGCCCAACCTAAGGGCGACTCATTGTATGTCTTTATATAAGTGCATAGTATATACTTTTTGTGTTTATACAAAAAAATATATTTTCTCACATTTTTACATGGTATCATATTAGGGTTAGAATCACACATAGGCTTGTTCTTTCGTCGCTCGTCTCACGGCCAACTTTGACTCTCACCTCCCATACCATCATCTCCAGCGTCTCGAGGCGGGCATTTGCCGAATATTTTAGCATCATCGGCGGCGCGTGTGGCCCACACGCGCCTTGTCTCCGTTACAGCGTCGGAAGCTTCGGCCGGCGCGTGAAGCTCACCTCCAACACTATTCATCGCTGCTTTTCAGCTGCCGACTCCTGTCAACATTGTCTACCTTGTGGTGTGATCGAATTTAGTATTCGTGAACTTTTTAATTTCTGCTTGTACTGATATTTTGTCTGACTTGTGATCCGATTCGTAATTTTCTTTCATTTGCTTCGTGATATTATTGGTGGTTATCTGTTTTTAGATATGGATCGTATGGATATGCATTCTCCTATTAGTGTTGTATTATAAGGAGATAATTATATTCTTTGGGTACAGTTTATGAAAGTTTTTTAATTGGGAGAAAATTATGGAGAATTGTGACTGGTGATGTATTGTCACATGTTCATCCGTCTCTTACTGGGGACACCAACCCCACCCCACAGGTTCTTACGACATACAGCGATAAATTGGAGGATTGGGATAGTAAGAACCATCAGATTCTTACTTGGTTATGTAGTACTTCAGTCTCTGCTATTCAGGTGCAGTTTGCCCCGTTTAACAGTGCGAATGAGGCTTGAGATTTTTTGGCTGCTCAGTTTCAAACTACGGGTTTGGCTTTTAGAGCACCTTGGCATTCCACCAAGCAGTAACCGGGTCAATCAGTCAACAAGTTTCTTGCACAAGTACAACCTATCTGGTATCGTCTTCGACATGATGAGATTAGTCTGGATCACCTTGATCCTATTTAGATTTTGATGGCTCTTCGTTCTGAGTATGAGGTTGTTCGTGCTTCTCTCTTACACCGTCATCCACAACCTACTCTCGATGTTGTTAATCAAAAGATTACTTTATAGGAGAAGTGTCTTCAGTTTAACACTTACTTATTTGATTTACCAAGGGTGATAACTATTCTGTTAGGTTAACGTAGTCGGTACTTTGGTAAGTGATGTTTTTTACATGATGTGCTGTTAAGATTGTTTATTGTCACCATGTCCCGATCCTCCGGGTTGATGACGTCCCCGAAATGAACTCAAGAAGAATTATTATGTAAAACCCAGCATGTGAATTAATTTTTGACATAATAATAAAGAATTAGGTTGTACTATTTTCGGTTCAAGAAATCAATTAACTATATTATCAATAATTAAATTAGACAATTAACATTATATCTTAAACATGGGGGATTAAATCAAGTAATTAGTCGGGAGATGAATTAATTGTAATCTATATATATATAATAAGAATTACTATTTACCAAAAATAGTAGCCATAAAAAACTATCAACATTAATTGCAATCCATTAATAGTAACTTTTTTTTATTTTAATTTTGTAAAAAATCAGTTAAATTAAATGTTGCCACAAATTGTGGATTTTAGATCATTTTAGGATTAAAAATCTCGACTGAAAGTTTAGAAATGTTTCCATCGTGAATTCAAATATTTCGCTCCGTGTATATAGCCCTCTAAAATAGCCTAAATCTTTGAGTTTTATTTTTAAATATGATTTTATTATCCTTTACATGTATGGACTACTTGGGATTTTATACTTATCAAACAACGCAATTTTTTATCGTAGGGGCTTTGAGGATATTTAGGTTTATCTATTTCCAATGTTTCCTAAATCCAAAAATCTAAATTGATTAATTTATCACAATCAAGTACGATTCAGTTAAAAAAATAACTATTTTTAATAAATAAGTTACAGAAGTATCTGAATTTAAAAAGATGTTTTTTTATCAAAATAAATATTAATTGTTCTTAAAAATGAATAGAACAAGACATTCAAATTTTAAAAACCGAGTATCTATTGAAACCAAAAAAATTAGGTTAATTAATGGATATTATCAAATTATATTTACAAATCACCCACATCTCATAAATTGATCCAAACGAAAATCAATATTAATACACTACAAGAAAATGATGAAATTCCAACGGAAATATATTTCAATAGAATTCCAACGTCAATTCCAATGGATATTTCAATGCTATTATTTCCGTTGGAATAATTCCAATGGAAATTCCAACAAAAATATTCCGTTGGAATGAATTTTCTATTGGAATTTCCGTTGGATTTTGACGATTCCAACAGTAGATTTTCCAACGGTGGTGGAAATAAAAGTTCCAACGGAAATTGCATATTCCAATGGAAATTCTTACGGTGAAAAGCCGTTGGAATCATCAAATTCCATCTAAAATTTCAATGAAAAATACATTCTGGCGGAATATTTTCGTTGGAATTTCCGTTGGAATCATTCCAACGGAAGCTATACCATTGGAATATCCATTGGAATTTCCATTAGAATATATTACCATAGGATTTTCCGTTGGTATATAACAATTTTTTTGTAGTGATATAGATACAAAATAAAAGAAATTGTTGGGAAAATCTAAATTATTAAGATGACTTTTTAATTAAATACATTGACTTTCTATTTAAGGAATTTTACCAATTATAAGTGAAATTAAAATATATATATATATATATATATATATATTCACATCAGTTTTTTCTTGGAAAAACACATATATATTTTCAAAAGTGACTTTCCCCAACAATTGTCGTTTTCCTTTTTTCTTTCTTAACCAAATTTGTTCCTCTTAAAATAAACTACTTTTTTTTTATAAAACAAATTAAAAGAAAATCTTTTACCTTTCTAAGTATTTACTTTTCCCTCATTATTTTATAGCACGACTAAATTTATTTTCTAATGTCCAAATCAATATTATTACACCACAAATTAAAATCTAATAAATTCCTTCCAATTTAATTTGCGTATAGTATGTCAAATATGATATGAATATAATATATCATTAATATTGTTGCATGTTTTTTTTCCATTTTTAACTATTATTATTATTATTAATGTCATTTCCTTTTACAAACTAAATAATGATTTTATTTGTTTTCTGTTTTTTATATATAATATTAAATTAACCTTCATTTCACACGATCTTCAATTTGGTATTCATATTGTATGTATAAATAAAAAATTAATTACTTTTAAAATATTAATAAGTTTATTAGTTAATATTCCATATACAAAATGAACTTAAATTTGTTATTCAATATGGATTTAAAAATATGAATTTAGTCTCAAATTAATCATACTAAATATAAATAAACAGGTTTAGTATAAAACAAATAAAATTGTAATTATTATGTTTATCTCTACGGGTTTAAAAAAAAATAATGCTAAAATTTTACAGAAATATAAGTAAACAATTATTCAATGATCAAGTATATACCATGTTAAAATAATAAATAAACGGGTCATTTGTCGAATTGTCATATTGTATTATAAAAAACTAAAATGACAACTATTTTATAACGGATTAAATAACCATATAAATGTCATATTAAACTATTATATATCATAAAAGTAAAATAAAATATAAAAATTAAATATTAATATTAAAAAATATTTATACTAATTAATATTCCTTCATTGCTTTATACTATTACCCCGTGCATTGCACGGGCTACGTACTAGTTCAGAGTTAAATGGGGAGTGCTATAATATTACTCTAATTGAATGTTCTATTATTTATTCAAATAAGGAATAGGTATAGACATAAGATCTTCTAAAATGTTAACAAGTTGAAAGACATAAGTTCTTCTAGAATGTTAACAAGCTGAAAGACATAAGGTCTTCTATTCCTATTTGGAAAAGGTCATATTTAGCACCTTCTTAGGTCTCTGTTGTAGCCTATAAATACATCAAATCTTCTAGCCTCCAAGACATTCTTCCATACGCATAAGATCAGATTTTACACGTCAAAATCAGATTCCACACGCCCAAAACACATTAGAATTAAGAGTTATTCTCTTAGAAAATTCAGATTAAACCGTGGGGTCTTAGTAGAAGAAATTCGAAAGGCTTTGTGAGTTCCATTTAATCGCTCCACCAAGATTGATCGGAGATGGTGTAAAAGTCATACAAAAAAAGATCCCAAGGTTATGTATTCGTATCCTGGCGAACATATATACGAACATATATATATATATATATATATATATATATATATATATATATACGTGTCGAACATATACAACCCCGCAGCATCTCGGATGGCCACAAAAATTGGAGAGGACGACACCAGAGAAAGGCGCATCCACCGGTGTATCCACGACCACCAGTCACAGCCGTACGCGACGGTGCTGGAGCCCCACGCGCTGCCCAAGCACCGCCCGCGCACGACCATGCACGAACACTCAGACAGATCGCGCACAGCTCGCAGCTACCCGTGCAAACAGCGTACGATCCGAGTCTTCTGCAATACCCCAGTGCGCGACCCGCGCCTTCCTCATGAGACCTGCGTGTTTCACGAGCGACCCACGTGCCCAGCAAGACACGTCTCGCACGATGCAGCGTCCCAGCGTCTGTGCCCGAGGACTCAGGCTACCTAGGTCTCTCCGCGCACAAAATCTCGACGCCCCAGCAAAGTAGACCCGTGCAGCCCCGGCGACAGCATGCCAGACCCGACCAGCACCGATCCAGTCCACGCAAGCTTGGCTAACTACGCACCAAACCAGCCCAGAAGCAGTCCAAACCAGTCCAACTTGGTCCAAAAGCCCCGGTGGGCCCATGGTGACCCTAGAGCAGTTCGACTAAACCACCGAATGTTCGAGATAGTTTGACGGGCCCGACGATCAACTGGAAACATGAGACAGTCAACGTTCGGCGGTGGCGAGACCAAGTCTGGCAACCCAATGGACTCTGAGGTTTAGACGATCTTCAACAGTTGAAATCAGGAATGCCTCAGAATCGACAAAAATTTTAAACCGTAAGTCCTAATCCTAACTATAGATTCTGCTGCGTTATGATTTATTTTCAATAGATTCGAATGTGTATATGGATGACATTCCTCATAGAATCCACCACTTTTCTCTCGTGATCTTTCTCCAACTCGTTTATAGTATTTTCTTCACGCCATTATGGGTTTCAAGCTGTTGGGCGCTTTGGACTGGGGTCGACCATCAAGGTTCTTTGCTCGGCTTTCACTGGGTTAGACGGTTCTGTCATTGCAAATTCCTTATTGCTTTCTTGATTCGGTTCCACGACTTCATTGTTGTTCGCCGTATGGTTTTCCAGCGAGGGAGTCGCCGTAACTCATTCTCAAGCCTCTCGTTGGTCTTCATAATGAATGCTCAATCTCTCAGGGGTTGCGAATATTATGGAGTAGCGAAAAATGGATACGACAGCTCAGAGTTTATACAACGTTATCCTCCTGAGTATCACGTTACATTCGTTCTCATGATTTACGATCTTGAACGTCTCTAAGATCGTCTTTCCTGTCGATCCATCCCCTCCGAAATGAATGGGTAACGTAATCTCCCCTTCTGGAGTCGTCGTTTTGTCGTCGAACCCTTGTATCTAGTCATTGCAAGGGCGCATCTCTTTGGGATCAATTCCCATTTATTGAAAAGTCTTCAAGTACAAAATGCTTGCATAGGCCCTTGTGTCAACCAGAATCCTGTGGACCGGTATGTAAAAGATCGGCGCTGTGATAACAAGGGCATCCAAATGGGGTTGATCAAAGGGGACGACATCTTCATCTGAAAAAGTAATCAGGTTGGTTTGAAAAACGTTAGCCGCTTTGAACTCAGCCTTCTACACATGTTGTCCGACGATGTAAACACGTCTGACATATGCTTTTGTTTGTCTTCTAGATGTGATCAGCCCTCCATAGTGGGTATTCACTAGACAGACTGGAGAAGATCTCCATGAGTGGGGTTGTCTTTCATTAGGCTCTGTGCGAGTCACCGAGCCATAGCTGTGTTTTCTTCCTCGGAATGAAATTGCTTCGTCATAATGTGCTCGAATCATGGTCAGGAGTCAGGACCTCTCTGGGCGGGTCCTTCTTTCACTTCGGGTTTTCCTTTGGTTCTCGCTCGTCTTCACTGACCGGATAATCCTCTATTCAGGCCCTCTTATTTCGTTATAGATTCTTCGTGAACTTCTTAACTTGCAGATTGTCAATAAGTTTCACAGTTCAGACTTGAGGTTATGACATTGATCGGTATTATGACCATGAGATTTATGGTATGCAAAATATCGTGACTTGTCGAGCTGATCTTCGCTAGCTCACATGGGCCTCGGTTCAAGGATTATGCCTTCATTTTTCAGTTCCTCATACACGGCGGCAGTCCCCGCCGAGTACACCCCATGATAACTCGCTTCAACTCCTCATGCCACTGCTTCCGTAAGGCGCGAACTTGTGTATCTCGCGTATCTTTTACAGGATAACGACTGAACTTATTCTCCTTGGTCTTCGTGTTCGCCAGATTGGTAGGTCCAAACGTTGGGACAAACATAGACTCTTCTGCGATCACGTGTTGTTGTGCTCGTGCTAAAAACTCTTGGTAGGTCTACGGTTTATTTTGACATAGTGACCATCGGAACATTATGTTCGGCTTCACGAATAGGCCGAGACTAACAACATCTCTTGATGAAATAGTTCCATATTCTGCACACGTTCATTAAATCACGCGACGTAGTCTTTCAAACTCTCGTCACTCCTTGGACAATGTTCGTTATCGACCCTTCTGGAATCATACACACTTATGAGCCGATGAAACGAAGGCCGACCTGAGTTGATGCCAGTTCTGAATGAATTTATTATTGGTTTAATGCCGAATCAAATTGGAGTTAGAGAATTTTTCTTGGACTTTGTTCTTTTTTCCCAAAAGATCCTTTAAAAGTGACCTTTTAGCCTATTTATACACTTGGTACGGATGAGTATTGTGTGTAGTACAACTGGGTGTAGTACAACTGAGTATAGTACGGATTATCCTATTTTTGGAAAGTACAACATCATTAACTGCCTAATGATTATGGTTCGAATCACCACCAAGATCAATAGTCTTGTCAGCCATTAATGCACGATTGAGTGACACAACCGAACCAAAATTCGGCTTCTTCAAGGATCCGAACTGCGCTCGTTTATCACGATGCTCGGTGGATTACACCCTGAGTTTGCGTCGTTTGCGGACTAATTTCCATTATTTATTATTAACATGTGTCCACGTGTCATGTTTATAACGGAGGGTAAGTTCGGATATCAACAGGTCTTTAAATGTTTTTTCAGGCAGTTGAGTGGCATGAATCTAAAAAATTTATCCCTCATAGAGATTGAGACATTATTGAGACCACAGGGTAGATTCAAGTTCAAACCGTCTGGTTTTGGATGAACTAAATTATGACCATAAGACTCTAGCTATTGAGCATGATGCACTTCTTAGACATATGACCGAGGGTGGTTTATTAAAAAATTATGACAGTTGTTGACTCTGGTAAGGGCGGTGTATTTTTGTGAATGGTTATGGTGGAACTAGTATGACATATTTGTGGAGGACTTTAGCTGTTGGGCTAAGATCAAATGGTCAAGTTGTGTTTTCTGTTACATTGAGTGGAATAGCATCTCTCTTGTTGTCAAGTGGAACACTGCACATTTTCGGTTTGTCATACCTCTTAAGTTGCATGAAAATTCATCGTGCGATCAATCAGGCTAGTCCTATCATAGAGTTGATTATACGTTGTTCTTTGATCATATGGGACAATGTCCCAATGATGCACAAGCATTTTTTGAAGTTGTTCAAGCATCATTTCAGGCAATCGTAGGAGCAGTCGATCCGAAAAACAATAATAAACCATTTCGGAGGCAAATCTGTTATATTTGGTGGAGACTTTTGACAAATTCTACTAGTAGTTTCAAAGAAGAGTCGTCAAGAGATTGTTAATGCGGCAATTAATGCTTATAGCATTTAGTCATAGCCAGTTATATGTCGATGTCTCCCGCGTTACTAACAGAAAGGGTTCAAAAAGTTTAATTTATGGAAAAAATGATTTGCCACAAAATCAAACAAAAAATATTATATATAATGAAGTATTCAATAATATATAAATTTTCATATTTGTATTTTCTTTCTTGCCATAATGAAATGTTTAAATATAAATAATTATATTTGAATAATGTTTTAAAAATGTTTTATGACAGTGTTCCAAAATGATATGAAAAGGGCTGAGCTTTCGCGCTATCGCAACTATACGTTTATGAATTAGGTCACTTCGTTTAGGCGAAATTTTTAACTTACCGCAAGAATTTTAAAATATTGCAACTTTACGAGGTATCCTAATTTATTACCATGCATACTAAACACTAAATAGAATTGAATGCCTTTATTTTGGGGTGAAAATTAAACCGATATTAAAAGGATTCAGATTCCTATAATATCTCACGCTATAGTAATTTAGTTGCAAGAAAATAAGTAAGTGGATATAACCTGTTCCTATTTTGAATTTCAAGCGTACTATCTCTCTCAAAATACAGGAAATACACGACAAGAAATCAGGTATAATTCTGACCAAACATACACGATCAGATCGCGCCATCAATGAGGTATAATTCTGATAAAATATATACACAACATATACATAATATACACCTAGTGAACATATACATAATATGCAGAACGATCAAATATATACAGACCATATACAGAAATTATACAGAAAACATATAAGTCCGTAAAAATATACGAAATAAACCTGGTAATTTTATCTTTTCGTAATCCTTTTATGTTTATTTTTTGTGTTATTTACATCTCGTATATTTTCTGTATAATTATAGTATATTTTCTCGTTTAATATATACAAAATACACGATCTGACTTATATAGATAAGATATACTCATTATATACAGACGACATAACAGAAGATAAATTAATCTTGTCATTATATACATAATATATACTGCATATATACGCAACATATACTTCCGATTGTGATTACGGGAACATATACAGAAAAATATATTGTATAAAACTAATTGTATAAAAAATACAGTCAAACCGCTGATTTCAAATCTTACAACCATCACATGAATAAAAAATATTGACAAATCTAGTTGCATCCTCATTTTCCGCCTATGAGAACTCAAATATTTCTTGAAGTCCAGTGATTGAATCAAATAGGGCGAAGATGTGCGTGAACACTCTAGAAACACTCGGCTGAAAATCTCGTCAAAAAGTCTCACACCATAGTCCCCAAATCGAGACTTGAGACAATTCCCTATCGTTTTCCAAAAAGAAAAAAAAAACCATGGAGATTGGTAATCCCGACATCAAAACCGTCGTCATGGCCCCGTCGACTGAGGTTCCATTCCACATTGCAGAAGGCCACGTCGCCGAAACTTTTTGGCGCTACCGCGGTGGCGGTTGTGGCCAAACATCGGTCCGAGGCTGACGCATAGCGGCGTCGATTCTTCCCCTCCTCGACAGCGACGAGCATATTTCAGTGGCGTCGCCTTGGTCGGTGGAGAGTTGTGCGACGGGTAGAAGGCGATGGAGTCCACCATCAGGTATCTCCCCAGTCGTTGGAAATCGTCGCTCGTCCACCATCATCGCGATTATATGAATAAAATTATCTTTTAGTTTCAGTGTAAAGGAAGTTTTTGGAAGAGAGATGACGGTTTTTCAGTTTCAGAGGTGCGTGTGAGAGGTGAGGGAGATGTGGGTTGATTTGGTTGAGAGGGTCGGTTATCGAGATGGTGGGAGAGATAAAAATCTTACCCATTAATTAATTGAAATTTGATAAGTTTTTACCTTAATTATGAATTATCTTGATTGCATCATATTTGAAATCTATGCGGTATTCTTGCAAATAAAATCATGAAATTATGTTAACATGCTAATATTTACCATATGATTATATTTATGCAATAAAAATTGAAACATGTGGTAAGGTGTGCAATTTTCTCCTTCGTTTAATAGAAATTAAAAACGCCCCACTTATGCATAGTTGCGAGTCTGCTACAAAACCATCACACCAACAAAGGGAAAAGGCATATGCTTTGTCATCTAAAGTTTCTTCAAGATTCACTGAACCAAACATATTCCTGTCTTCTAATAATAACAATCATGTGAAAACAATGCAAATTTAAATCTCAAACAATCTGAAGGCATACAGTGAGTGCGACAGTTCTTAAATTTTCAAACTGAATGAAACCAAGTCGCAAATTTACAGCGTCTGTATATCAACGTATATATACTTTCTTGCTGCTATAAATAATTCCTACACCAGCTTTTGTGAACGCACAACAAAAGAGAATCACAACTAAAATTCCACTAGTTTACAACAACTTTCCTGTTCATACGTACCAGAATTCATCTTTTCTACATAGATATCTATAATTACTTATGCATGAATAGAGTTATGTACATTCTACTAACATTGTTTGATTTTATAATCTCAAATGCAGAAGGGTTACTAACTAACTAATCCATCGAACCTTTCCATTGTACGAAAGAAGTTTTAACTGAGAACTTAGCCAGTTCAATAGCCCGAATTTGGATCCATAGAGCTTCACCTGAACTGATTTTTTGAACCCTCCTTTTCTGGAAAATTCGACCTCCTTTGTGAATCCATAATCAGCATCTTTTGAGTTATCAAACAAAGGCAGCACAATAGAACCTCCCGACTCCAGATTGTTGATCCAACCTCGCAGAATAAAGTTCACAACCTGGGAAAATACACAAAAAGAAAAATATGAGCTAATAAACAAGAAGAAAATAGGCAAAATTGCACTTTTAGTCCTGCTGGTTTAACGCCGTAACATTTTTAGTCCCAAGATTTCAACTTTTTGTCTTTTGATCCTGTAATGTAGTATTTTGCTGCAACAAAATTTAAAATTACAAGACTTAAACTGCTAATAAAAAATTCATCCAAAAGATTTTTTATTAGCAATTTAAGTCCTGTAATTTTAAATTTTGTTGCATTTTCAGTCCCAAAGGACTGAAATGGCGTTGAATTTTAAAATCATAGGACCAAATAGCAAAAATATTCAATTCTTAGGACTAAAAACGCCACAGGACTAAAAATGCAATTTTGCCAAGAAAATAGCATCTTTTTATTTATGGATATATCCATTTTAAGGAGAACTCGACTTTCTCTGACATTTATCATCTTTCAGAACCTCACGAGATAATGATGAGTGTAATTTGTGATGCAATTAAATGTGGAGATATATAAACAATTTCTTTGCAACAGTAAAAACAAAATAAAATCCATTTTCAATATTATATAGCTGAGAGGCAAGATAAAGTACCTCAGGAACTTCATCATGAGGGCAGTGGCCGGCAGGACTTATCTCATAATAAGGAGCATTTGGCACTTGCCTTTTCACATGCAAACCGAATATCGGCATAACCCATGGATCTTCCTTCCCGTACGTTAGACAAATCGGTATATTGTTCATTTTACACCTGCTATCACAAGCGAGTTCTAATATGTAATGTAAAAAAAATTAAAATCATAAAAGTGCTTCTATTGGCAATTAANAAAGAAAATAAACAAGAAAAAAAATTTAAACAGAATGCAAAATGTGAAAAAAAAAAAAATTAAAATCATAAAAGTGCTTCTATTGGCAATTAATTACCTAGCTAAAGCTTCATTAAAGGATAATTGTCCCCTGGGAGCAAATAAAATGGAGGCTAAGGATGCAGCAGCAGCTGGATGTTGAGTTGTCTCGATAATTTGGGAGAAAACTTCGTCCACATTTGTTGTATGATCTGCATAAACCTGCCTCAGTATATCTGCTATACTTCTTGGATCACTAATTTTGAGCCATCTAAAATGTCAAACAAACACAATCAAAATTAGGCTGAATCTTAAAATTTCAGAACATTAAAGATGGAGAGATAGCAGTTGGAAACAGATTATTCCTCGTGTAAATAAAAATACAGGATAGTTTTCTAAACTATTCATCAAGAAACCATATGAAAATCCTTAAGGATAGTTAGTCATAAAAACCACCTAGAAAGGTTTCAAATTTATGATAAATTACGAATAAAAACCTTATGGTTTTATTACCTATCCACATCTTAAAGAACAAACATTCCAAAAGCTCCCCTTGTATTTGGAAAACTGTTAGTCCTCAAACTTCGAAGGTTTTATTTTTTTTCCAATTTTGGAGCTTCTCCGATATTTCTGGTAATTACTTCAAAACTTAGGGATAATTCTTGTCATTATAATAACACCTTTTAATTGTTGTATGTGTACTGTTGCAAACATATCAGATGGAATTTAGCAGAGAACTTACAAAATTTCTACCAATTTTCTAACACCAGGAGGAAGAGGAAATGTTCCATCCCATGGAAGCAGTTTCGACAATTTCGGAGATATTTCGGGATTAGGCAGAAACCCCCAGAAAGGAGTTGCATTAAGCAAAGTTACACCTTTCACCAATTCAGGGTTGCATGCCGTTAAATAGAGAGCCACAAACCCTCCGAGTGAATTTCCCACAAGATAAACGGGTTCTCTAATTACCTACAAAGACAAAGTCACATTTGGTCAAAATTCTTCTGCATTATATTGGTTCGGCCATTGTGTCCCTTTTTATTTTTCCTTTTTTTTTTTCTTTAGAAGCAAGATAGAACTATGCAACTATAATTGTCAATATGAATGTGTATCAGAATTATCCAACAGCAATTGCAAAAGTGAAGAATAACGAACAGAGTGATTCAAAACTGTGCAGGCTGTTAAGGATAACAAAGTAAAAACTTGAAGGTTAAGAAACAGCAGATGTTAAATAATAGTGCACAGGACAGGTGTATATTTAACGACCACTAAAATAATGGTTAACAAGACATGAACTGACAGAGATAAGCAATGGAGGAACTGGAAAACTAAAAAAGGGTTGCCTATACGAAGAAATCAACAAAAGATATTGGTCTTCACATGAAAGAGGAAAAATTGGAGATGACTGGGAGAATAAAGGAAAGCAAAATACATATTGAAAGTTGAAACAGGTAACTATTGCCTCATTCCAAGTATTGCTCTCAATTTTTTAATTAATAACTAGCGTGACAAGAAACGATTTCAGGCACGACTGTTCTGCAATATTTTTGTATAATATAGACAGTGTAACTGACTATTTATCTTCGAGACAAATGCACGAGCAATATCATTCTGAAAGTTAAGCAACAGATGGATGTTATCATAAAAATTAAGCACAAGAGGGAAGTAGATATGGTAAAACCTGCCAGATGCTACACCAGCTATGACCTTCATTAAACTTTTAATTTTTTTTTTATTTTCTTTTATTTTTTCAAAAAATAAAAAATGAATACCAAAATAGAAGCTAAAAAAAAAAACTTATTTCTCATATAAGCCAAAGTATTTCCCTCCATTATGGCCACAATGAAAAGTTCCTTCCATCTGAAACTTTTATTGTCTACTTAGCACAGTAACCATCTTTAATTACTTATATAGGCGACTAAAGCATAAATAAAAAGAAAAATAAAGAAGAAAATAATCAAAGAGCAGAACGAATACCTGTTCCACAAAATACTGTACTTGTTCTCTCCACAAATCAACAGAATAAACAAGCTCTTTCGCCCATGGCTCGCTTTCATCTCCCAAACCCCAAAGATCAACTTGTCCGTCTAAAATGAACTTATTTCCATCCTTTGATCCCAAAGTTGGATCTTCTTGCGGCAAAGACATGCCTTGACCGAGAAAATCTAGAGCAAACACTCTATAATCACGACCCAGATCTTTTAGCTGTTTATCAAAATGAAACGAGCCCACGCCAAAGCCAGGGAGAAAAAGGACAGGGGGTGAATCCACATTTTCACTCCCTGATGTTTTATAATGTACATTTAATTTTGGCTTCCATTCCCAATAACAGCTGCTTATAGAAGCTACCCTTTCACCATTATCTTCATTTGGCAGCCCAGGAATCGAGACTTTAGGCATTGGATGACTAATGCCAATGCCAGTACTTGTAACACCCTTCTTTCTGCCGAGCACATAAGAGTCACAAGTTTCACTTAAGAGACTTGAATTGTCATGTTCACATCTCTCAAGCGAGCAAACTGCTGTGGAAGCTCTATACTGCTGATGGGAATATCTTGAATTTGCAAATCTTGATTCAATTACAAAGGGATAAAAACGTTTATCCTTTGCAGCGCGAAGCTTTGACCGTTGTGTATCGAAATATGTTACGTATCTAATATTTACAGAGTCACAGCAGTGGGCACCATGGCTAGAAATAATTTCCATCCTCGGATGTAATTTGCTGAAATGGGTAACAAGTGAGAGGTCAAGAACAATATCAGTCAAGAAAGTATGAAGATTTTTTTATTCTTGCTCGTGTATTATTTTACTGATGAACAAGCAAGAGAAAGCACCACACAAATCTATATGGGGGGGAAAGAACCTAGTGTATGTGCAACAAAATGCAATTAAAATTATAATAAGAAAAGATTAAGAACACAATTTAAATGGGTAGAGTATTTCTCTTAGATTATTAATTCTTAAGTCCTTTGTTGTCCCCATTGAAGAATTGGGAGGTGAAGTCCCACTACTCTCACAGTTCCATTAGGACTAAAACAACCTTCCATGCCTGAAAAGCAGCCCGAATTTTTGTCAGGCGTATAAACTTGCTAACTTAGCCAGAATGGATATTCAACTGTTTTTTGTTATGATAAATTGCTATAACACTTCAGATCATTAAAAAAAAAAAGAAAAAAAAAAATCCAGGAAAACAGAACACTTCCCCTTCAACATGTTAAATAAGACCAAAAAACCTAAGATCTATCCTCTTAAGAGGGTATAGCAAGGTTGAGTTCGTAACCCTTTATATTGACCCTACAGCAGATAATATTGCACAAATTTATAGGTCAACTTCTCATAAATTCGATTCCTCCCTGCAATTTTCTTTCTGGCCACTCAGTTTCCATTTTGAACAATTTTCACACAAAGAACGCAAGATCTCAGAACCGGAAAAAGGTTACTGAAACAGAAATCGTTCTAACATAATATAACAACACTCAAATTCTTGGATAAAATCACTGACCTAATAAATTTTCCACAAAGATCAAGACCAAGGATGCAAAATTAACAGGTCTGATAACCCATATTTAATACTTCACTAAAAGCTAAAATATCAAAAGACAGAACTCATCAAAGACACGATATTTATTCATCTTTACCTCCAACAAGTGAGCCGAGATGTTAAATTAACTTCCCAGCTTCGAGGAGAAAGTAACTGACAATTATCAATATTTTAATGAAGCCGATCACTTGCCAACATAAATATTACTATGTACAAAAACGGATTTTATTCCTCAAGACTCCAGAACATCAAAGAGGTTTGGATAATTAATACTAACTTTCTTTAAAAGCCAAGAACGCTGAAAATTGGTAAAGAGGGCCCGTAGAAAAAAGGAGGACAAACTAAAAAATTGTCGTTATGTTTTCATTACTCTGTCTGGTCTGTCATTTAGCGTCCAGCATGAAAAAGGTGCGTATACGCAATGTACTGTCTGTGAGTGTGATTTATGAACAAGTGTTATACAAGGGAGGTTTTGGTAACACTTCTCAAATGATTTTGCATGTAAAAGTCTATTTAGATAAATAATTCCTATTAGATGGTAAATTAAAAATGAACTTATGAATAAGTTAGTTTTTTAAATGAACTTTTGCATCTAAAGTTCATTTAAAAAATATTTCCAGACAAGCTCAAAGATAGAAATTTTTGGAGAAAGTCTATTTTGCAGAAGTCCATTTAATCAATGGATTTTTACAAAATTTCTTCCAAACAAGCACTTCATCTCCAGTCGTTATGTTTCCATTCGTTTACTTTAGAGAATAGAGTTGATATTTCATCTCCAACCGTTTACTCTACATGGAATATTCTCTCATTAATCTTTCTTTTAATCGATTTAAAGGTAAATATTATTTAACAAAATTATTATTATATAATTAAAAAAAAATATAATAGATAGAATAGTAATTGTAGTAAGTGAATATGTAAGTACTATTCAATTGTATAAAAAAAAATATGCGATTGTTTAATCAGGTGTTCTTTCTGCAAGATGGGCTATTTTGAAGGCAAAGGACTTGGGGTGGACTTCAATCAGGTGTTCCTTCAATAATCAAGAGGTGTCTCATGCTCTGATCAATAACACTGAGAAGTGTTATTTATCAGACATGGAGTAATTCCTCTTCTTTATTTATGTGGAATCTAATACTACGGGTCTTTTTTTTTTTATATATAGTTTTTCTAGACTCATCTTGGACTTGGCTTCATGTGTTGAATCAAACATGATGTATCGTTTTGGATTTCGTTTAATTCTTGCTTTCAGTATTTGCATTGCATATTTTTGTGGAGGGTTCCCATGAGATGTACAAAGCACCCCCGTGTTATAATTTATTACACAATCAATCGAATTTATGTATTTAACATAACTTGGTTTCAAATGTATAACTTTTTCATAGTCTATTTATTGATCAAGTTATTTTATACAACTGTATGTACACGTGTTCAATGCATTACTCAAAACAAACAGAGTCAAACATTATCTGGCCAAAACTCCCTGAAGAAAGCACGATCGAATTCCTTCTCTTGCAACCGTTTCTCTAACTCTTGCATTTTCTTCATCTTTTTTGAGATTTTCTTTGCTTTACTCTTGGGAACCTGAAAACATGGTCTGTTAGAATACT